ACATACATCTAAATAACGTATCAACTTTTAGTTGTAAAAATGCGTGTCAGAAGCGTGGACAAAGTTTCGCAAGGTGATGGCGTAAACCACTCGAGATGAGCTTCAGGTCACGATCAAAAAAGTGAGCGTGGTCATATTTGGAATGAAATATCCCGTGGCGCTACGCAGGTACTCTATGACTGTTATTGATGTCATCGTAAGGTCAACTCCAGTCCTTTTTGTATGGGCTGGCTGGAGGTATTCTAGAAGAATAGTCCATAAACAGGTTTCATCTGAAACCTAAAATACGAGCCACACACCTCATTAACCTCTTGATGCCCACTATCTCCCTAATCCCAACCTGCATGTCGCAAACTTTACGAATTTTGACGCAAGTGCTCAGTCACAAAGTTTGAGAGCCCATTGAGTGATTTTACTCATCCAATCAACTTTAGCTGAAAATTTAGGAACAAGGGAGGAGGGGATAAAGAGGAAGAACTCAATTCCCTCTATATGGCAGTCATATTTTCAACTACGACCTGTGAATAGAACAAATTACGGTAGAATTAAAAAGGAAGATACACAGCGAGAAAACTCAACACAGAAGTTTGGTTAATACGAGAAGTAAAACACAAAAAACCCAAGCCTTTGGTTGACTCTGAACTGGAGTTTCCCAGTCCCTTCATTCTTTTCTGCGTTAAATTTACCGCATTTTGTACCAAAATCAACACAAACTTTGCGTCGGATTGTGTTTCACTTCCTATAATAACCAAAATAAACAGAAGAATACAAATATTTTTATTAGTATAGGTAAATACACTTATTTGAAGGTGCCCTAACAAAAAAAAGTCATTAAGACCCTTGGAGAGAAGAGATCCATTTACTATGACATAATTATCAAACATCGAAAAAAGGGGTAGGCAGTAAGAAATAGGAAGAGAGAAAAGGGGGAATTTGCAAAAAATAGAGAACGACAACGATAGAATATATTAAACGGAGATTCTCTGTTTTTAAAGAAATAATGCCGAACTTGTACATTTAGTACACGTAGCCCCAACGGAAAAAAATATGATAGTTATTTCAACTATCATCCTGGCTGATTTTGACGCCACCCTGAAGTGTAGTTGCATTAGCCATCGGTATAGTTGGTCGAGTCAGTTAAAAATGTAGTTGAATCTACCATACCTCTGGCCGGTACAATTACACTTCTGGCACGTGTCAAAATCAGCCGAGATTATAGTTGATATTATCATACTTTTTTCATGCTTCGTAGCCCTCATTGCTGTATGACTTTCTTAATTTTTTGGTCAGGAACTGTAGATGAAACTCAGAATATACAGTGCTCCGTCGAGGAGAAATAAATTATGAATGTACCCATAAGACGCTAATTTAAGCGTTGATGTGCATGATAAACAACTTACCCATAGATGATGTGTGCTTGCATAATTGATTCCCCATTACGCGAATTAATTATACGATTGAGTTGGGAGAATGACCATAATTACTTTTGCCGGGAACTCTACCCAGGATGAGAGCATACTGATTTCTGATCGAATTCAATAACTCGGTCATTTTAAATTATGCTCCCAACAGCTCTCCATAATTAACCTAAATGACATAAATCTAGAGCGTCTCCAAATTCAAGGTGAAAAAGACTCTTTTGCATACTACAACCGACCGTAACTCAACATTTAAGCGATTCACAAAATCTCAGGGAAGCAGATTCATAACTGGAAATGAACGTGAATGATCAGAGTCGTTTAATGCGATGCAAAATTATTCGCACATCCTCTACTGAGTACTTTTTCCGCTTAGCTTCATGTAAATTTTGAGGGAATCGTGCTTTCGGGAAATGTTTTCCTTACACGATCACACAGGTAATGTTCAGCGTGTGGGAATAAAGTGACATAGACTTGGTGTAGACAAGTATGAAATAAAATACAAATTTCAAGCCCATAATTTTTGCACCCTAAATATTTTTACTATTCATCAGATTTTTAACGGAGAGAAATAGGCTTTTAAGCGGGTTTAAAATCATCCTCAGCTATAGTTTTCTGATGTTATCTGGTTATCATGATAGACGTTGTCCATTCGTAAATTAGTTTCAAGTATCTTAATACATTTTGAGCAAGTGCTTGTGAAATTCTGCACACCTTTAAAGAAGGCACTGGGAATGAACCCTGACATGACAAGGGTTCCTCATATTCACCGAAAGTTTGATAAAAACTATGCTTCCACGTATAAACCTGTGCGAAAAACTAGGCAGCTCACGCTGGCAGTCTTCTTTAATAACACCTAATGGATATCAAATATGTGATTAGTCAATAGTAAGCGATGGTTCAATCGCGAAGTTTTTTTTAGGAGCAGAGACTTCGAGATCAGCATTAGACAGTCGCAATTCCCGGAAGTCGATTGTGCTGTTTCTCCCTCCATTTAAATCTATTGCAAGCATCGATTCTGCGTATAAAACTGCTTGTTTTGATAAATATCGATTAAGTATAATTGAAGTTGCATGTATTTGATTAGACGGAACGCAATGTTGCCAACTTGTGGGAATCATGAGATTAACGGCACTATCTTGGTTCGAAGTGAATTTCAGCCCTTTTAAGCTTTTGGAACGAAGGTCCCTATCCTTTAACACGTAAAAATAAAATGGTGTACCGCTCTCCTCGTCACACACATACATCCCCCCCCCCCAATGGGNCCCCCCCAATGCGTGACGTAATATAGGGACGGCTTTCTTTGGGCCCATTGTAGGAGCTGAAACCAAATTTTCCCTCTATCTAAGAATTATGTTTTGTTGGTGGATATTTGCATTATTAAAATTGACCGAGGCATGCTAAAATTCGACCTTGTTTAGCTGAAACGCAGCAAGCCACATCAGCTATTGCCAAGTTTAAGTGAGTGATTTAATTTTTTACGAGAGAACATTAGTGCAAATCTCTTTGAAAATTTTAAGGAATTTGCTTCGTACTCTGCAGAAAATTCACTGAAATTTTCACAAAAATCCGCGCAGCCGTTTCCATGTAAAAAATTAAACCACCAAGTTAAATGTAACAATAGCTGATGTGGATTGGTTCTTTCTCCTCCTTAACACGGTCCAAATGGTTCCCACCGAATATTATGAGTTGTGTCGACGGATATTCCCTAGTGTACCTATATTGAGAGTATGGCCACTGGGCCCCATGGAGAGGCTTAGAACCCAAAAATGGCGGTGCTTTGTTTTGGTTTTTGCGGATGAGAGGGGGGTCATTGCCAACTTTTGACGGTTTTCATCAACCGCACTTGCTGCCAACCTTACTATATTTGAGATAATCTTTCTCAAAAATTGCACACGATTAGCCTTAAAAATATGTAAAGAAGTCGCAATAGTGCATGTTGGTTTTCTCGTTACGATAAGCAAAGAAAACTACATTTTAAGTCATTTTGCATTACATTAATTTATGGCGTCCGCCATTTTCGGGTCCCAAGGGCTCCATTCAGCCTAAGATGTCTGAGTCAATCAGAGGTGGTAACACCAGAGGCCATACTCTCTCAAAACAGGTACTCTAATATTCCCTAGAGTCCCTTCATACCCAGAGTTAAGACAACTCGATTATCAGCTGACTGGCAGCCGGCCTTGGCTGGCCATGGAGGCCGAAACGAGTGCACCTAAACGAACGATATTGAGGGATAAGGATCAGGAATCCTGCGATGTCTGTCTCACAAAAACAACAACATCAACAAATTGATCAATTAAAACGAAAATTAGATTGGCTTGTGAATAATTTCTTAATCTATTTTCATTTTAGACCGATGGAAATAACAATTTACTCTTGATAAACCACAATTAGGTAATATTTCCATTATTCTTGTTCACATTCGAGGTACCGCCATCTTGGTGCACTCGTTTCGGCCTCCATGAGCGAGAACCAATCAGAATTGGATTTTTTTAGGCCACTTTCAGCCCAACCAAAAGTGAGTTGTCTTAACTCTGGGTATAAAGGGACTCTAATATTCCCCACATTAAAATTGAGCGAAGAATGCTAAAAATGTCGAGCAGAATTCGTCGACCAATAGAGCACGGCAAGATTCGCGAGTGTGGATCGAATCGTTTCGTCATCAGGCGTGCCCGCGCCTTGACAAATAATGAAATAAAACACGGTCGGTGCGAAGGAGATACCTACCGGTCACGGCGGAGTCGTAGTTAAAAATTATTACTCCATCGATTTCGTCACCCATTCAATCTAAGAGCAGACAACCAGTTTAGCACGGCCAGGGCACTGTTGCTTGACCGACATGCATGATCCGTGTTGTTTAAATCGGAATCTCGCGATTTTTTTCACCAAGATTGGCACCTCAGCGAGGCTCCTCTCCCCCAATTTAGATTCGTGTTGCTCTGCCTTCTTCTCCGGCCGATCAGACCTCAGACGACCTGACCTTATTAGGCCCACCTGTCTGAGTATTTAGATTGGTCAATGGCTGAACTTTAAGACCGCTTGACTCGTTTTTGTTTATTTTTAATTTTTTCAATGACATGCCTGCAAATTTACAAACCGACTGATATTTCAGCAGCAATTGAGCCATTAATCGTGAAAACAACTTGTAAGCGTTGCCATGCTGTGCAGATTCTGCATATTTGGACTTATTTATCAGCTTAAAAATGTGAAGGCTTTGTTAGAATTTTTACCTAAAAATCTAACACATTTTTTTTTAATTTTTTCAGAGTCTAATATGCATTTGAATCGTTTTATTTTCTGTAAATGCACGTGGAGGAATAAGATTTTCGTCACAACCAGCCACTGGACGACTATCCTATTTTTTTCCGCATGGTGTACGAAGTTAAATAAAGAAGCACTGCAAAGGGCATGTACTGTTTCTGAAAAGAACAGTAAAGAACATGTTTGATTTTAATTTTAGTAACTTAAAAATATTAAACATATTCATTTTTAAACTGTAATTCTGTAGTTCTGTATGTATTTTAAACGCACGTTGATGATGAACATGATCACGTTATCTCACGTAAAAATTGTTTGTTACAGGTAAATCCTTCAATGTTCGGCAAAGGCTAGTCCATACAATCAAGACTTCATGTTTACCGAAACTGATCTGTGAGCTGAATGCATCGCCACACAAGGAGACCTTGTCAGAAGCAGAGAGATCTCTTTTGTCCTTAATTAGGTAAATATCTGACTGCCAACCTGTTTTTGGAGGAAACAACTCTTAGTTTTGCTCTAGCAAAAGTTTGCAACAGGCCCATTTATTGAATGATCTAACCATAAATTATTTATTTTTTGACAAACAGAGCTAACTTGATCTCATTCATTTAGTGCATTAATTTATATCGATAGATTCTAAGCAATTTTTAATTTATCCATTCGAAGTCTGTCTGTACCATCAAATTATCATTTACAAAGTTCTTGAGTACCGTCCCTTTACGGCCTCTATTAATTTACTCACGATATAATCCAATCATCTTGCTCTAGTATTATTCGTGCATTTCTTTTCTTATTTTTCCATTTCGTTTTTCATCTGTTAGGTATCAACTATTCTTGCTAAGTACGCAAACATTATTTGCAATGTACTTGGGCATATAATTTTACAATTCAAGACATCGTATTTGCTTCGGAAAAACATGAAAATATGTAGTAAAAAATGGTAGTCGTAATACTAGAGATGAACGTACACCACTTGCCCCTCAAGCTTTTTATCACGAAACCCCAGAATGAAGAAGGAGGGCAGGAGGTAACCCTCTTGAGTCACAATTCACTTAAACGGATGAATATAGGGATATAGAAAATGAACTTTAATGTCCCCGATATCTCCCAATGCATACGCTCGGATCATCATAATTCATTTCAATTTTTTTGACATTTAATTGCTTTTTGCGAAAAAAGATAAAAGGAAAGTCAAAACGGGGGAAGGAGCAGCAGCGCTCGCATGAGGAGAAGAAAGGTAATTTATGACATTCTCACAGCGGTATGAATCATATGTAGGAGCCTTTCTACTGCTCGCATGAGCGCGGCATTTGAATAAAATATTGTAAAGTTCGTGTCTTCTGCCTTTTAAATGAAAAATAGCTTGTTTAAGGTGAAGAGCTGTAAGCATAATACGTTTTCATTCCCGAGGGTGGAAGATTTACTGAAGTTCTCGACCCTCTAAACACATCTTCGTGAATTAAGTCTGTTGACTCTGATAAGTAGAAACCAATACGCAGGGATGATGCATATTTGGTCTTTAATTACATGCATTAAACTTATTTTCAAAAAAATTTCATTTTTACAAGTGAACAAAATATGATTTCTTAAGGAAAAACTTTTCTGGCAAACTTAATAATCAGTAAAATAGACAGTGGTTTTACCTCATTTTGCTGTAATATTTGTTTATCTCAGTTCTAAAGATCTCATCCTGGGGAAAATGAATTATGTCACCAACATAAATTCCATGAAAAGTAACCCTCATTTGAACGTTCCCAAATTTTCTGCAATCGAATCTCTAATTTTGCTGCAAATTATGAATATTTTTTCTTCAACTTTTCAGATCCTATTTTTAAAATTACGTATAGAATCGTCCGTAAAATCAATGATTATTCCTTGCAGTAATTTTCCCTGTAATTCGTATTTTTTTAAACTGAATTTGGCAACGTTTCAAAGCTCCGAAAGAGTTTTTCCTTGATGCAGCAGTGTATATCGCAACTGCGGATATGATGCTGATACTCTCACGCACACCACATTATGCGGGTAATTCCAGAGAACTCGACAACGCTGTTCAGCAAATTAAAAGTCGCGTCGCGTGCGGTACAGACCTTGGCTTCCGGTTTGAAACGTCGTTTTAAAATTTTGATAGACCATGTTCACTACGAGAATGTTACTGGTTACTAGATTCCTCGGAAATTATATGCAGTCAGGGGCCTCGTAGTCTTTAACATTATTTTTAATTCGTAAAACGGGCTAAACGGCCATCAAAAGCTAACTTGGTCACCCACCGGCCAAGGTACCTTAAGCGCAATACGACGTTTCAAAATTTCCATCGCCGTTTTATTTTTTTACAGAGAAATTGTTCAACAAAGCTGTCCAAAAATTTCACTGAATGTTATACGCGCTGTCGATAGAATTCAGTGAAATTTTTAAACCGATTCGACCAAAAATGTCTGCGTAAAAAAACAAAATTACGCCGGAAATTTTGAAACGTCGCATGGCGCTTGTAATACTTTGGCCGGGAGGTGACGATTCGTTGTTAGTTTGTGGGTACCCGATTTTTTTCATTTTTACATTCTTATATATCTTTGAATGCTTGTTGAGAATATTTTTCGTCGCATAAAAAAAATCCTGGCTACACTGAAAAAAAAAGTATCACAATCTCAACCACACTTCCAGTTGATTTTGGCGCCAGCCATAAGAGTAGTTGCACTAGATAGATAAGTGTAAAGGCACCAGCCAACGGTATAATTAATCCATCTTCATCCTGTGCTGACTGTGAGGGCACTAGCTCGAGGTATGGTTGATCCAACTACACTTTAAGCTGACTTAAACATACCTCTGGCTTGCGAAACTACTCTATTATATCTGGCGCCAAAATTAGCTAGGAATATAGTTAGGATTGTTATGATTATTTTCCGTATAGGCTACTGCTGTCTCTCCTCTCAGAGAGAAAGATGCCTCCAAAAATATGTGTACATCCTGTAACCCTACCACCCCACATTTCGAGCTCTTGAAGAGGAAGCAGTTCATTTACTCATAACTAACGCCCCCGCTTGCACGATTTCCTTCCCGAGCGGCTCCGAAAGTTTAATGGAAAGTACGGCGAAAAGAGCGCCGCGCATCGGGAGTAAATTCATGGGCGCACACTTACTTACGCAGAAAATATAATTCAAATTCCTCATCTAAATAATAATAGGGACAAGCATTGTGACTGGCGGGCGGACAAGGCTGCAAGTGTAAATCTTGGATTTCGGCTCCGGGATCGAGACGAATATATTAAAAGATGCGGCACTCAATATTGCGGGAAGGGCGCGAGGGGCGCACGAGACAAGGGAGGGGCGCGGATCGGCAATGATTTACATAGACGCTTCAGCTCTTGCATTATGTTCCGTTTCGCGGGATAAGTAAATCAAGCAGCGAGATTTACAGTGTCACATTTGACAAGAGACTTACCTTATTTGAGTAATGGATTGTTCCGCCGATGTACAAATCTGTGCCCCTACCTTTGCCTTTGCGAGGAGCATTTTTTTAAATCAGCGGCGTCTTTAACTTTTAAGGACCTCATTATGAGCTCCTTATTTGCATTCATATTAGTTCGTTCCAACCCGCCCCCTCGCCTCCCACATTGGATTTTTGCATCATTTCATCCCCGAACAGAGGAGTTTTTCTTTTTCTCTCCGGTGCTTCCACCCCGTATTCATGAACCATTTGATCAGAGCTTGATAAATTCGATTTACCTTTATTTTAACCACCGCGGCACCTAATGAGCCACCTCACTTGGAAAGCAAGGATAATCCGCCTATTTTTTCATGAGGAAATGAGTTTAGTCAAACGTTGTCAGGATGGAGGTGAGCTGTCAAACTCCGATTCCTCTCCTAATTCTTTTTCCCCCATTTGCTTGGTAGATCTGCCTCTCCTAATAAGTATGTAAAAGAGAGCTGGAAAGCTAAAAAATCACTTGCCAGTGTAACAATAATGACTTTATCTTACGGATTCATCTTTGAACTTGTGCTAATGTTATCATTAAAAAATGGTACGTGCGGTGTCTCCGAAGGAAGGATTGCTACGTACACTCAATATTTTCCAAGTCTGTTAAATTTTTGAGCGGTAAGATCCAAAACTGGAATGATACACCGATTGGAAATGTAACTTGTAAGACAATTTTAATATTCCTCGTCCAGAGACAAATTGTCATTAGGTATTTTTTTCTTTGCCTGAAAGTTCACTTTTCCTTTTCAGTTCTTTCGATTGCATCCAGTTCTATGCACAGTGAAAAATACCGCGTGTAAATGGAATGTCAGCGAAATATTTTGAGTAATTGTTCAACGATTGAAACCTGTTCCTTCTCTAAATAAAAAAAACAACAACAATAAAACATGCCATTAAACGTGACCAAACATGTTCACCTACACTTGATTATTTTCTTTTAGACGAGAAATTAAAGGCCGCATGTTGTAGTCTGCAATTCGACCAAAATTGTTGAACTAAATTACGCTATATTTGTAAAGGGGTAGAAAACTACGTAATATTTTGCTGCAAAGTTTTCTGACTGCAAGTGCGTTTTGAAAATGAGGAAAGTGCACGCTAATGTATTGAAGCGTTATGGCACCAAACGAAAATTCAGTGAAGATAATGCTATCTTAAGCCGTCAAACTACGCAACAAACCGTAGATAAATATTCAATGTACTCGTATATTGGCCTAAAAATTATGACTCAAACCTGTGGACTCAAGGTTCTTTTTTTGTTCGCAGGGACACGAGTATCAGCACAACTGCGGAAGTGACTTCCAGATACCACTTCGCAGCACACATGGGTCAGCTCATTGCAGGAGTTGACGGCACTGGATGCCACAACTTTTATCCCTCCTGTCCGTTTCCCGGGCTGCAAGTGATGTCAATGATGAAAAAAGTGCAGATTAGATGATTCCTCCACCCCCTATGGAACTGCATATTCCATCGTCAGAAGACAAATCTAGTCTACCGTGGAAGCGTCGTCACTGGGAACCTTGGAACCCTGGAGAACCCTGGAACCAGAACTTGGGAACCCTGGAACTTGGGAACCCTGGAACCTGGGAACCCTGGAACCTGGGAACCCCAGAACTTGGGAACCCTGAAACCTGGGAACTCCAGAACTTGGGCACCCTGGAACCTGGAAACCCCAGAACTTGGGATTCCTGGAACCTCGGAACCCCAGAACTTGGGAACCTTGGGAATCATGCTCATGTTCAGTATGAGCGAAAAGGATAGGATTGAGCCTCGATTGCTCTTACTTTGAAAGGAGTAAGCTGAAATAGAGTGTAGAGTGTTCTTGGGAATACTAGCTCCAATAATTCGAAGTCCTATTTCATTCCACAATCCACGTGGCTCTTATCAGAGACTTGTGAACAATTTTTGCTGTCTTCAGAGGAGGATCAATGCAATTCGTCAAGGATTCTGGTGTGGTCAAACTAGCGTGTGATATCACATTAATTATGTAAAAGTTCTGGGAGGGTTCGGAAATCTTAGCCACAAAAAGGACGATAGCCCCTGCGCATGAACTTAAAAAGACTCATTCTCAACCAAAAATATTGCAAAATTCAGTGAAATGAAGGCAGGGTTTTTTCCTTCGAAAAGAATCCTACTTTCATTTCTCTGAATTTTGCAAATTGTTCGGTTTACATACCGATGCTTTATGCTAAATACGCGCAGTGTGGCTATCGTCCTTTTTTGGCAAAAACTTCAACACCTGCCGAGATTTTTACATTGATTGATGCGATATTTCGCATGCCAGTTTGACCACGCCAGATTCTAGATCGAGTCACCTTGAGACTAAATAATTGTCTGAGAAATATTTCATCTGCTAAACCATATATTTAGACGGTAATATTCATCAACTCTTTTCTTCATTTTAAAGGAGCGATAGTTGAGTATGCATGGCCGGATTTACATTTTTAGCGCCCTAGGCTAAACTTAGGGTGGCGCCCCTAAAAGTAGGCGCTCTCGTGGGGGGGGGGGGGGGAGNGGGGGGGGGGGGTGGAGTGCCCTTGTGCCTATGATACGCGAAGGAAATAAATTTGTCAACAACAGCATAGAAATTTTAATAAGTCACGTTTTTTAAAAAATTCTCAAAAATTTTGCGCCCCTCAGAACGTTGCGCCCTAGGCTATAGCCTATGTAGCCTATTGGTAAATCCGGCCCTGTGAGTATGGTTCTCCGATTCGAGACAAATATGTTGACGTTACGCCATAGTCATCGATGCTTTTTACTGTAAAACAAATTCTGATTGCAAAGGAAATTAATTCATTTAGAGCTCTAATTTGTGTTGTGCGATTTTTGTTTGTATTGCGTATCACTGTTTCACGAGTACAAGCACCGACGTCTATGACATAATGCCAACATGTTTCTCCTTTTTTAAGGTCAGGACTGAAATAATTTTGTACTTAATATAGCTCAGTAATTCACTCAGTTTTTCTTCTCAGTGAATCTGAAGGCACCGCGTTCTTTGGTGTCGAGAAACTTGATAGGGACATCTCCACTTTTCTTGGAGGCCTTAGAACCCATAAAGTTCAGGTATAGGACACAATTGAACTTAAAATTATTGCCTTACCAGTTAGTAGTGCAATGTTTAATGTATTTTTTTATTTTTATTTTTTTATTATTATTATTATATTTTAAACTCTTAATCTCTTTCCTGAGGGAGTCTGTGTAAATTAATTTATTTTAAGCTTTGTAGTGTGAATGACGATTTTGTAACATTGATCAATGAATTGATCCTTATTGGTTCCTTAGTTCGGTAAATATGTGACTAAGTTGTTTTTGCCAATCTCGTTTTAGAGATTTTTTTCTCAGTTGAATTTGACTGTAAAATTCTTGTACATAATATTGAGACTGATCGATCTTAAATCATCAAAGTTGTATTAATGCTTTCAGCTGATCATTGATGTATGACCGAAAGTTAATATTAAGTATGTATATATGTTTTTGTCAAAAATGCGCAATGCAAATCCTAATATTCACTCAGAATCAGTGTATCTGTGAACGAAAGGAAAAATAAGCAAACATGATTTGGCGATGAAATCACGAAAACAGCACGTATTTTGGTTGTAGTGTTTCACAATGCCAGCGTCTACTCTGTTAGGTTCTAAGCATAATGATATTGGACATTTTTGCCCAAAATTTAATCAAACAATAAAAAAAAAATAAATAAATAAATAAATAAAACAAAACACAGTAAAACAATTTATTCAACGTCGTTGATTAGTCAAGCCACATTTTGAGATAAGGGACCTCTATTTTTAACGCATCCATTAAAGCACTTATCTGCGTGAGGAAAATAATAGCACATACGTTTTTATCGCAAAATTCTAGAAATATTAGCTGCACAATGCAACATGAAAAGTAAAATAAAACATGATACCTGCAACGTTCCACACCGAAGTATATGGTTTCGTAGTTCAACTTCAGGTTTAAATCATTTGAAGGGTGGGGAACAGTAAAATGTATTAACCTTAAAATTAAAAGTGTTCTCTCGAAGTTTTTAGTATGTGTCCGCGGCGAGTCCACATTGGCAACATTGGCTTTCTTCCCCATTTAAACCTGAGTGATATATCCATTCTTGTAGGAGCCCTAGCCCTTCAAAGAATCGATATATTTTCATAGGTTTAAATGGGGAAGAAACTATGTCCCCAACTTCCTGGATCTGGCAATGGTATCTGTGCACTTCAAAATTTACCACTTTGGGGTTATTTTCGTCAAAAATCTGGATTGACAGGCTCCATATAGAGGGTTAAGGCTTACGTGTGTGTGTGGAATTTTCTTCTTCCTTACCCGAATTTTGTTGGCAGTTAACGTATGGCTGAATTTTGTGGCAAGAATGTCGACTATGTTATTCAATCGCTTACCAGTGGTTGGAACCGGCGAGGAACTGAGAATGGCTTGAGCAAGTGAGCCTGTCGTAAAAGAAGCTCAACTAGCGTACGGCTTGAGGTTAAAATATAATTTTCATGATTTACAGTCGAATTTAGAGATTAGGTTTCACAACTTGTGGTTGACTGCGTAAACCATCAAGATTTCGGCCCATATTTTATAATCTATATTTTTTCATTTTTTATAAATACTTTTCAGATAGATTAATATTATCTACGAGCTTTATTACTTGATTTGTAGCTGATTTTCCAATGTCAAAGAGTGCATAGCTACCATCGTTAAATTTTGAGGTACATAGTTGCGTTAAAAATGATTCATGTGTATCTCACCTCTGGCACTGGCCCACATTTAATTTTACAGCTTCATTTGTTTTCTTCTTTTCTCAAAAAAAAAAACCCGATGACATTGTACTAATAATTGTATCATGCTCGCTGCTTGAATACATATTGGTATTCAATGGATGAGATGAATACTAAAAACTTTGAAAAACAATTCAGAAATAATTATGGTCCATCCGCTCATGTCTCTTGAAAAAATGTTACCGCATGTAGCAAATAGATTTGTCTCACTAATTTTAAAAGCACATACAATTAATTAGAGGATTAAAATGTTCGAAAAAGTGTGTAACCGTGGGTTTGAGAGGAAATATTGATGTAACCACTCTCGTCTATTTATTTTGCTTTCGCGTTATTTTGCTTCATTGTAAGTCTACAGATGTCAAATTGGATTTCAATAATGGCTCATTAGAAAAAATGTTCAAAAATGTGTTAAGTGTTGACGAAAACTGCTTTAAAGCCATTAAGTTCTCTGAAGTTACCAAAATAGCGTTTTGTTGGTCAATCGCACAACTAAACGCATGAAAATTACAGAAAAGTTTACAAATTCATAGACTTACCCTAAATAAGTACCATAAGTACCATAATATGCAAATGATGTGATAAGTTAAGAGATCAAAACTGATGCCCTCTTCATTGATTTTTACTCCTTGAACTTTTTTCTTCCTGTTACCACTTCTCTATCGCCGAGCTAGATATATTGACCATAATGAGAAAACTGATTAGTGTAAAGTATAATTGTTAAGTTTAAGTTACGTTCAAGTCTTAGGTTAAAGTGTACATTTTTGTAAATGAGTCAACCGGTTACTTTTATATTTACTTACTATCTTAGGTACTGTGTTTAATTTATTTTCTAAATTGTTACCATTATTTGTGAATAAAAGTTTCAAGCTTTGATATCAAGGAACAATCCAAAAAATGCATCCTTTCAAATTTTTCCACTCAAGTACGAGGATAGGACAAAACTATCATGATTTGAAACCGATACGAACTAAAAAATACAATTATTATGAATTCAAAAAAAGCATCCTCGAGCAAATCTATAGTATAGGCGTGTAGTAAAATGTATCATTTGTGGTGAGGCTGACACGATTAAAATTAAAAATCCCTGATGTGAAAGGTATTTTAGCGTAAGATAGTTTCCGACCGCATGTCGGTATCACAATTACCTGTGAAAGTAGTTCCTACTTCCAGGTTTGTTTACGTTTTATCATGGCTCCTTTCATGATCATTTCTATAAAAAAAAGTAATCATTGGACGGTTCTCATTTCATCTTACAGTTTTGCCTCTCTTCCTCTGTATCCAATAAAAAACGCATACATGAATACTTTCACAGTCCACGACTTCAAATCATAGTCTTTACGAGATTCATGAGCTCTTCGCTCGCTCCACAGGGGTGCTTTGATACCAGAATGTGCAAATTTAGCACAATTTAGACTTATTTTACACAGCGTTACATGAACTCATTACATTCGACAATGCGTATTACCTTTAACTCATGGTTTCATCCATAAGGAGTTGTAGCATGATAAGGATAAGGTTAATTTGAAATCCTTCGCACCTCTAAAATATATTTAGTCATGAAGAGTAGTAAACCTTTATTGCTCCTTTTCTAGATATACACAGCTTCACAGGTGACAATGATGGTGAGATGAACCTTATAGTTCATTACAAGTTCGAATGGAATCACTCATGATTTCACTCCAGTTTCAGAGCCACAACAATAGCATTATAAACTCGGAAGTGCTGATAATAAGTTAGAGATGTATGAAATGTTTTTCCTTGCACTTTAGACCTCGTGCTATCATTTCAATGGCAAATATAATTCCACAGTTGTGCTTCCACATGAAGTTTTAAAATACATCCTAAAAATCTTACATAATATCCTGAGCTGTTTCGGGAATTTTTCCTCTGCTCAAGACAATTTCAATTTTTATATTTTAGGCAAAAAACAACCAACGACGCTCAGTGCTTATCCTAAAATACTTCCCTGTAAAAATTATTTGGTGGCAGAAACTTGTTCAAAAACATCTGTGGAGCAAGGTATGAATAGTTATGGCTTGAAACCAACAATGGATGACAATCCTTTTATGATACATTAACAGTTTACCCGCATGTGGGGCTACATTACACGCTTATCAGCAAAAATTCCATGCAGTTAATTTCTTAGGTACTCTTAAATAATTATGATGAGGAAATGTAATAACAAATAGTAACCGTAAGAAGCCAAAGAACATACGTTAATTACTCTCCTCACTGCGCATCTCTCATTCTATCGAGTGCTCCTTCAATGAACGTGATGGCAATATGAGCGTCTTGAGAGCACTAATAGTTGCTCGCAGTAGCTTTATCACTTTTGTTCCGTCCCAGCAAGGAACACACGTTGATTCTTCCTCTCATTACGTGTCTCTCAAGCTGTTGAGTTCGCACATTTGCGGATACAGCAAATTGGAAACATTATTTTTCTCCTTTGAACCTATGGAAATGCATCCATTCTTGGAGGGGCCAGGCGTTCCGACAAGAATCGATTAATCAATGTTGGTTTAAATGGAGGAAGCTCGGTGTTACCAAATTGATGGATCCGCTTTTGAGTTCGCATGTCTTTTAGAGCACATTCCATTTGTTGAAGAACGGCAATGCCTCTGGCTTCTGTTCGAAAAAAGTTAATTTTTAAACGCATTACTGCAATTCGACCATGAGAGTAATGGCATGTTAAGTAGCTTTAAAGTTGCCGGTTTTATTAAAAAAGAAAAAGAAAACTGAGTCACAATAATTATGAAAAATAAAAATTAAACTATTTGTCATGGAAGTGTAGTTTAGCCGTTGAAATCCATGCCCAAAAGAGCTCTGAAAAGCCTGTATGAGTACCCCTATTCAGCACAAGAATGACGTTTCCAGTCGGTGCAAAAACTGGAATCATAGTAAGATTTCACACGAAGTGAGAGGTTGAATGAGACGACGAAATGTTCACAGAAGTAAGTACACGGCAGCGCGGAATGCAACGAAAGTGAAAGGAATGAAGAGCGATGCAAAGCTCGTTTATGCGGACCAACACTTCCATAAGCTCCCGCGACTTCGCTCCAGCGTTGTCGCTCTTCCGTTTCCGGCCGTCGTGACTTGGCTGACGTTCAGCTAGGGCACGTGACGTCATCGTAGGTACTATCTTGAAGTGGGTATCAATTATATGAAATTGTAGAGGAACAATAATGATTCTCTTTGAGGATTCTCGTGCATGTGACATCTTTGGTGAGGGATAGATGGATATCATTTTTAGGTAGATCTTTGGGGTTCTGGAGGATCGGTGGGGGTGGGAGTTAGGATTTCACTGAATTTTCCGGGATGGGGGGCAAAATTCAAAAAATATAAAAACATACTGCCGATTCCGTAATTTGTTAATTTTATTTTTTCAAAAAAGAGAAAGAAAAAAAAATACAATTTAAATTCAACATTTCTGGAAAAAGTTCCCTTGGTTAAAGTTCTTAAGTTTAATCTTACGGAGGAAATCTTAGATTCTTTTCAAATGCTCCCGTGATACAAACCAATGGCCGTCTTTCACAACAATATTTTAGGGGCTTAGAGGACAAGATGCCTAAGTGCAGTTTTTGCTATTTCGAGAAATACGTGTTTAAAGTCTGGAAACTACATATATCCTTATGGCGGAGGGAAAGTTCAAACTGACTTTTTGATGCTTAAAAATTGGAATTTGGGATCGAATTTTTCACAAAATATGCATTGAGACTGGTTTTACTCGAAATCATTAATATCTAATTTTTTTTTGAAAACTGCATTTTTGCGTCTTGTCCTCCAAGCCCCTCATTTCATGCCCTGATTTTATTCTCCTTGGAGTCATCCATCAGCATTACCGTAACTTACTCACAGGGCAGGCTGCTATCTTTTTCCAATCTTTAGGCTTCCTATTCTCAAATATGAGTTTTTAAGATGACGAATTGTTCTTCCTAAGCCGCTTATTTTCAACAATGGTAGTTGTAACGGATGAAATTTGGCGAGGAGGAGCTGAGGTTTTGATGACGGAAGCGACGAAGATTGCGATATGCTGTCCGTTGTCACCATCGTATAGGTTCCCAGCTGAACTTCCGCCGAATGCAAATGATTGTTCTCAGCGACCGCGCTCCTTGAATTTTATCCATTCCGCAAATTGCCAGCACTATTGTTGATTGCACACTAAGCCCAACTTTCTATTGACATATTGCAAAATGTATAGCTTGCTGAAGCTTTGACAAACTGAAGTTGCCTTTGCATCTTGTCATTTTAGTCATTTCAGTCATTTTAGTCATTTTCAAACTTACTTTACTTAATGATATCGTTAGTTGGTTAATCAAATACCGAGGTTCTTCTCCAGTATTTGCAAAGAGCCTCCCAAAATTACCTATTTCCGCCCCTCTTGGAATACCTGAGGATTATATGTATCAAAGTGTGGCTAAAATAAATCCTCATAATGATACCTACATGTCTCCGGGAAAAGTTTCAGTTTGAGTTCTAAGATTTTTTGGTGATGGATCTATTGCATGTGAGAGATACAGCCGATTGGATAAACGTTCTACAAAATGCATATGATCAAGCTGAGCATTTCAAAAAAGTAAAAAATCTATACCTCGATGTACAATCTACGCACTTAGTATGCCGTATGAAGTACAAAAACAAATGTAAAAGGAGTACTACCAAATGCTTCTTCATATTTTCCCACGTGACAGGTAACACACAACCTTTTAAAAATCTGAAAATTAAACAATAAATCGATCAAATTCAATACCACTTCGACATAGTTTTTTTCACATCCGATTTGACGGAAACGGCCAAATCTCACAGAAGAAGATTTGATGGATCGTTTACTTGTGACATTTTTCGACAGATTTCGGCAAAATATGATATTTACTATCGCTCATGTTTGTTCTCATGTGTTCCCATCACGTCCGCTAAACACGAGAAATCAATCAAGACGTTCAAACACTTTAATATATTCAAATCCCCTTGATACGTGTGTCTTCTTTCAGGCACCCATTTTGTGAGTAAACCGTATGCCTTATCTCCCCAGTAAGAGCAATTATCATCATACGGGTGACAGTGACTTCTTTTCCTTCTACATTCAACTTTCAACCCATCTTTTGTCACTTTCATACAGTGACAAAAGTGTATTTTATAATTCGAGGTAATATATAGCTGAAATTACATCATTAAATGAAATGCTTCATAATAAGTTGATTCCTACATCGTACTTCTCTGTTGTCAACATTCATTATTTTTTTCAAACAAATCGGTGCATTCCTAGAAAATTACTTAGTGGAAGGTACGCTTCCTCTATTTCGGGACACGTTCCCTTACGAATCGTCAAAATTTATGCTGCGACGGACAGATTTTATTCACCTGTTGTTTATGATTTGAAGGCAAAGTAGAAAAAAACGAGTTGATACGAGCATATCTGCTGAGGCGTAGCTATATTCACAAATATTTTTTTTATGATGATGTTTTTTTACCTTCGACAGTGTAGTAGTCAATTTGATCGAATGGTATTGTAGGAGAGAACCCTCAATAACGGCATCGAAAAGAACCAGAGATTGTTATCGTTTTCAATTAATCAAAAGTTTAATCACACGGCGTTTTAGCCGTAAGAGAATAGATTGATGGCTTGACAGAGGAACAGGTAATGACGTCATAGGTTTTAAAAAATTGACGTTTCTAAGGGACGCAGACACATCGTGAAACACACAATTTTCTTTATGTTTTGTCTATGAAACAGTTAAAGCCAACCACCAAAACATAACTCCACAACTAGCTCATATACCAGTATGTCGCATACCATACGAGTATTCAGAAAAATCAACTCGACTCAGTTTTGATGCGTTTGACTCTTTTCGTCGCACACGCAAAAAGCTCACTCGACTTAAAAAATGGCGGTAAAAATGTGTGATCCGCTTTGGACAAAGGTTAAAAACTCACCCTGAAAAGAACACAGGCGGATCCAGACATTTCGCCGGGGACAGAAGGGGGATTCAAGTGGCATTCCAGAAAATTTTCAAAATTTTAAAGCATCAAAAACGCAGTTTGGGGTCAATCGCCCTGAATAATTGCAAAATATAAGCATCTTACTTCTCTCCTGGTTCCTTCCTTCTTCATTCCTTCCCTTTTCGTCCCTCCATTTTTCGGGCGATTGGGGGAGCGTGCGCCCCCTACACCTCCCTACACCGCCTACACCCCCCACACTCCCCCGCCCNTACACCCCCACACTCCCCTACACCCCCACACTCCCCTACACCCCCACACTCCCCTACACCCCCCATCCCCCTATGAAAAATGAAAATGAACACTCTCGAAGTCATAAACTCTCAAGTGCGCCACACACACGTCCGCCAAGGGCGCAAAGTCACCACGCGAATACGAGCTTTGGTGCACACACACGACTTTTACACCGCGTGTCCAGCGCGAGTCTCTGGGTTATTTGGTCTCTAGGTGTCACGGCCCAGGTCCGAAGGGATCCTCGCGACGCGTCACTCGTTGCGTAAGCTGGTTTTTTATCGCACACTCATCGAAAATAATAACGACCAAGCACGAAAAGCACCTTGAGAATTAGGTTGAGTCCAAGTTGGAAGTGGAAGTTAGCGCCGGCCGTGGCTGAGCACCACCACCAGCACGAGAACACTTTCACTTTTTGCGTCAGATGGCCGGGCCCGGGCAGTCGCACCTCGAACTCCGATCGCATGTCGAACAGTCCTTCCCGGCGCGCGCCACTTCGGGAACCTAACCTAACTCGCCGGAATCATCCCTTGAGATCAGATCGTGCGCGGCCGAGCAGACCATGGATTTGTTGCGGAGTTTTTACGTGTTTACGTTAGTGTTGCAGTTGCTACTGTCGTTGTGTTCGGACGGTGTGAGGACACAGGACACTGGATTTGAGCTTCCCGTCCAGCTGATTGGATTCCCGGTCATTATCATGTCCGTCAAAATGGCAAACTTTGTTAAAAAACTTGCCTATTCCCTTAATCCAAGTAAGTTCACGTGTGTGTATTGTGTTCCGTTTGGGTTATATAGAAAGAGAGAAAAAAATTCAACCCCATCCGACTTTTTTGATTTCGAAAAAAAATAAAAATTTAGCAATTTTTTGCGTATCAAACGTCAAGTTCAGGTGAACATGATCATGCAATCCTCTTGTATACGGTAGAACAATTTTCTCATTGTTTTTATTTCTTGATAGTACTACCTTTTTAGTAGGCAGCTTTATGGTGTACGATAAGTGGGAAATAGGTGGAAAACCTGTAATCTAAGGCTCCTGAAAATATGACCGTGAATCATATAGAAATGACGAGACAACGTTTGGAGGATCTTTAAGTCCAACATTCTATTTTTGACAAAATGACTTGGAGCTGAGGACTTACATCACCTGCCTGTGTTGCTGCCTCTCGGTCAACCAAGTTGCTGAATGGCATGCTCCGCCTAGTCATTCCTTTAACATATCCCTAAAAAGTATAGCTTCCTGGCGAAACGATTTTGAGACTGTGAATCTCCTTAAAATTTAGGTAATAAAGAAATGTTTGTATTATTTTTGCAAAGTTGTGATGTATCCACACAAAATATTCCCATAAATAATGTTATGAACACCACATCGACCTCCTCTCACAATTGAATAGGACATATTATTATGCATGACAAAAACAATTGATAAATGATCCATGTCATATGAGCTTTTTGAAATATATCATTGGTCTCCACTAAAAGTAAAAAATTAGAGCGACATTTTTTTAAATTTTAGAGGAACGCGGTTCATTCAAGTGTTGCTTATACTATAATCGAATCACAAAAGTTTCTTTTCATTTTTCTTTTTATTGAGAGCAACTAATGTTTAATAAAAAAATCATTAAAAAAAGAAAGTAAACAGAATTGTTGTCAAACAAAACGTTTTCTAATAATAATAATACATGCTTTGAAAGTTTGTTTCAAATTATTGCAAATACTTGTACATTTAATCAATAATATAGATTCAAGGAGTTTACGCAGCCTACAAGAAACTATAGAGCGATCATAAATGAATATTCTGTATTCAGAAATCTATAGATAACTTAATATATATATGAGTCGCTTTTATAGCGCTCTTTGGCGCTGTGCGACGCCTAATCGCCACAAAGCTCGGTCTTCCCACAGGTCATCAGGGAGTTGACAATCTCTTATCTCATTTAACACCCCCTGTCGCCAACCTCTCACTGGGCGTCCCCTACGTCTCCTCCCAGGAGGAACCCAATCAAGCATCTTTTTTGGCAGCCTCTCTTCCTCTTTCTTAGATAACTTAATACCACCACTAAAGCAAAGTATAACCACACTTGCTCGCGGTGTTCGTGGAAACTGAAATTTAAAAAAAAAGAAAAAAAAAGAAAAAAAAGAAAAACTTATTATCATAATGTAATAATAGAGATACAAGCTAACAATATAAGCTATCATAATTTCAAGGAAATTTAAGCACAGTGACTTTACGGAGACGTTTCATTTTACTTTGATTCTTGATAGATGTGTGTCAAATAATACCTAAATTTTTAAAGTATTTCCTTCGATTTATGTGGGTGCGAGAAATACATCGACGAACCGTCAACACTGCGTGTTCTCAGCTTGTTGCATTCAGTCTGAGTGGCTCAAATATTTGAAAGCTAATATTACGTTAGATGGGTATTGCATCATCTCTCAATGCTCGTATAATGAACTTCGCTTGCTCCTTTTCAAGTACATCCTCACGTTTCTACTCACGACCTCTACCCCCTCCACCCGCTCTGCCGTGCTAGGGAAAAACGCCGTATGAGCCTCAAGACGTTGCCAAATTCCTTTTGTTAAAACACGAATTTCCCGGTAAACTTATGAACATTTTCCTTCCAATTTTTCAGATAAGTTTGTCCGCAAATGCACCTGAAGTTCCTGAAAATTTCAAGGAAAAATGTTTCTAATTTTTCTCAAAAACAAACATTTTATCGAAGGAAATTTGGCAACTCTCGAATGTTCATACGTCGTTTTTCCTTAGCATGGCAGCGTTCCTCTCACAAAGTTTGCCACTCCACACTCCGCACCCTTTCTTTCCCTTTGTTTCCACACAATTTGAACTCACGTACCAAAAATGTGCATCCTATTCCAGTTTGTCGGTGCTTACCTGTTTATTTCGCATGCTCACCAATGCGTGGGTGAAAAAACAAAAAACACGAGACAGCTACATTGAAAAATGAAAGGGGGAGAAGCAATACGTCCTATTAACCAGGGGGAGGAGAGGGGGAAATTACTTTATAGAAATGAGGACAAAAAATATAAAATAAAAAGCTAGATAAAGATAAAAAGCTAGCTAAAAGATAATATTAATGAGCTATTGGCAACTAATGTGTGCCATGCAGAGGGACAGCTTGTGAAGTACCAAGCTCAGTCAGAGCAATTTTATTAAAAAATTGAGAAAAGTAAATGATGCTCGGTGAAAACGTTCTTAAACTATTAACTAGGTCATGACTTGCGAGCACCGTTATTTACATTGCAGTTTTCTCTTCTATCTGACGTTAAATATTGCTCGTTTTTAAAGAAAATTACGAAATCAATCTGAAAAACCTAGATTTTATGTAAAATTCAAAAATTATTGATGATTAATCGTGTTTTGGTAAATTAACTGATTGAGAATCTAAAAAAATTGATACCCATACTGATCTTAGTTCTATATTAATAATCAATCTCAGAAAAGTAAGTTTTTCATTTCGCCGAGGCTACACATCTACCTCCAGTTCTATCAGATTCCATCTATATTTTAAACAAAAACTCGAATGAGCATACAAGCATGAGAACTCAAGCATTATACCATCTCAACAGATGCATCGTTTGAAATCATGATGCGTGAAAAGGACATTCTAATTAGCTCTGTTGAGGACAATGATGCCCCATTAGCGTTACGGAGCTTTGCAGCGTACGACTTAACAATTACTTAATGAGTTTCAATTCCTTGGCATAGACTACTAGCGTAATGGCAATTTGTGAGAAAAAATCTCAATCTGGAGGCAAATGTATTTACTAACAACGGTCTAAAGTTTGCAAACATCAATCAAACTAATCGTCATTTGTTTTGTTGCTGGTGTGAAAAATTCATTTTGTTTTTCATTTTTGTCCAGCTGACTTGGAGGAGACAAAATCACGGGTGGTGAGCTCCTCCATATTCTGTCTTTTAGACAACGCTCATGACATCGAGAGTTTACACTCCTATCGCTTTTAAGTCGTCTTAAGATAAATACCTTCTTGAGTAATAATCTTTCCTCACAAGTCCTACCTACATCTTTTCTACCCACTCGTTAAAGTCACCGGTCTTGCCAAGCATCACTATGGTGCTCTCACGAATGTTACGGATTGTTACGGCATAGTGAGTTTCATGTTGAGAATTTTTTCACATTTTAAGCGATTTCGAAGACACAATTCAAGCTTTGGAGCTTCTCTAAAAGTCGAAAATTTATTATTTATCCAGTCATGTTTAATTTTGCGATACAGGCGAATCAGGCCTCGATGGCTGTCCAAAATCAACTCTTAGGTTCCGAAAGTTTCTCGAATGAAGAAAAATAGGTAGTAATAAGGTAGTAATATGTGCTAATTACTTAGCAGTGTCCTAGCGAAAACGACCATTCATACCTCTGCGATAAAGTTACAAGTTTTGTCACTAGGGTTGATGTCACAAAATAGCTAAATATTTCTAGTAAATTCAGTTTTGAGTCCATAATGGCTTACTTACGTCCGATGACGCTTACTTTGTAACAAATACAATCCCTGCTTCAGTAAAACTCCCTGTTCAAAGATTACTTTAAGAGCTCTGCGGGTCGATTGTTGAATCGTTATCGAATGCTTCTGATCGATAAATCCCTATCTTAACAATGCTACATATCGATCAAGGTCATTCGATAACGATCGATGACCAATGTGCGAAACTACGTATCTCCGATTGTGAAGCTGCAGACGCTTTATTTTTTCTTCGAAAACTAGTTAACGTAATTTCTTGAGGACCTCTTTGATTTTTCAGCTCTGTAATATAAATATTCCGTATCAATATCTGCTAAATAATGTTAGCCTGTTCCTCTCCGAACAAATAAAAAGGGAGTGGAGTTTTTGGGAAACCGCAAAGGAGATACGTGTTTTGCACTTTGACCTTAGCCTGTAGCATCGTGTAACATATTAGTAGGTGTCGCAAAATTTTACATTGAGCAGCTAACAAAAATGAAAATTTTTCAAGGAATTTTTTTGAGAAGCACCCAGACGAAGGCACTCAGGTCTGGAGGCCCGATGCCATGATTTCAGAGGACGAAAGCTTTGTCCGGAAGCTTAGGAGTACGGCTGATGCAAGCATCTCGCTGCCATGAGGTAAAAATCTGAAGACGAATCCGTACCGTGCAAAAGACAAGATGCAAGCGCCATGCGCCATGCGGAAGAGACTGGAAGTCACCCGGGTCGGCCGCTGTCGTTCACGCGACGGGTGAACCAGGCCGCCGCCGCGCCGCAGCATTGCCGTAATGTCACCTACATTTCATTGAGTCGCTGTTACATTGTGCCGACGGCGATTGTTTGTTAGGTCTATTGATTAGGAGTACGGTAGTGCCTGTGGCCAACGGCAAGGACGATTCATCAGGAATTTTTGTAACTCTCGGCTGGCAGATGTGGGTATTGGGCAGGACGTGCGCCAGGTGAGGACAAAATAGAATGAGGATGTGGAGAAAAATAAGAAAGAAGGGGAGGAGGGATAGGGAGAAGGAAGAGAAGAAAATGGAGGAGAAAATCGAGGAGGAAGAGAAGAAAGAGGTGACAGAGTGAAGGAGGAATAAAAAGGCGAGAAGAAGAGGAGAAAAAGAAAAAATGAAGAGAAAAAGAAGGAGAAGGAGGAGATGAAAACGAAAAAGAAGAAGAATAAAAAGGAACGGAAAGAAGAATAAGAAGAAAAAAAGAAGAAAAAGAGAGAGCGAGGAAGAAGAAGAAGAAAAAAGGATGAAACGAATAAGAAGCAGAAGAAGGAGAAGGAGAAGAAAGTAAATAAGAAGAAAATGAAGATGAGGATGAAGAGGAGGGAGAAGAAAAGGGGTAGTAGAAAAATAAGAAGAGGAAAAAATAGAAAAAGAGGAGCTCGAGCCATCATCTTCCCTTTAAATGATACAGGCATTCGATTGATGTATTGACATTTTTAGCTCCTCATATATTTTTAGCTTCGTTCGCCCAGTTTATTTTTTATCATTTTTTGAATTATTAAAACTACTTTTGTGCTCCATTTTCATTTTTACAAATCGGCAACGGAGATTGGTCAGTTGCATGCCTGGTGCTGGGTTGCTTGCCGTGTCGCGCAGACGCCGAGAGCGTCACGTTCAATCTGCTTCAATGCGGCAATTACTCGCTAATCACGCACCATTTTGGTTGCCTTGTTGTCACCGGCAAACTATTCCCCCTTACTCAAACGAGAAAAAATAAACATTTTACATCTAATGCGGCAACATTGCTTTTTACACGCTGCCAGTTGCTCGTGTAAATACAGCCTGCGTATGGATCCACATTGAAAAATTGGCTTATTTCTTACGGCCTCACAGCATTGGGCACTAGTTCTCGCGGCAGCCTGCTGGCGCAGCGCCGTTGAGGAAATTGGGTGAGCTGGCACTAGGTTACCCGCGGAAATTAGCCAGCGCGCGCAACGAAGATTCACAAGATCTTATGTCACCGTTCCACCACCCGCGCCGTGTCTCACAGCCGGAATAATCCCATTGTGAAACAAGGAAACATGCTGCGAGTTTACTACAAATCGTGGTTGCGATAATGAAGCATGCGGCGGCTTCCCGTTTTGATTCATTTTGCCCTTTTCGGCGCGGAGGAGTGGCCTGTTTCTACCCCCAACCCTTTATTGACGCATGGTACCAATAAAATTATCCCGTTTGGCTCGCGCCCTTCTCCATGTAAATTAGCTTGAAAGCTCTAGGTTCACAAAAAAAAAAAAAAAAAAAAAAAAAAAAAAAAAAAAAAAAAAAAGATGGTGCAGATGTGACTGTTCAATATACCTTTAATGGATTGGCACAAATCGGTATCCCATGCCTCTCAGGAAGGGCCGTTGACCTGTGACCGTCTAAAGAAGCGACTCTTCGCTGTCATTTCGTTTTTGATGGACAATCAGTTGATCATGCAATTAAAAATTGACGCCGCGGAACAGCAGAGGAAGCCTGCAATTCAGCATAAAGAAAATTCAGACAGAGAAGCATAAGTCCTTTGCTAATATCAACATTACCCTGCACCACTTGTCCCTTCTGACAAAATTTCCCGGACCACCTTCTTGAGAAGCGTGGGATACCGATTTGTTCCAATCCATTTAAGGTGTATTAAACAGTGCACTTGGACAATTTGTTTTTTGTTTTGTTTTCAAAGTCGTGCATCTTCCTCTATGTTTTAAAAAATATTACATTTGGAGTGATACAATTTACGCGATCATTTCCTTTTAAAATTACAAGTTCCCGATAGAAAAACAAAAAATATTAATTTAGCTGTGCGTATTTTGATTAAGATAAAGATCAACGAGTTTTAAAACTTTGTGATCGAGCTGGTTCTTTTCTGGTTATTAAATGGTATCATTTTATTATCACGTCAGCTTTATTCTCCTTGGTATATTCCGTCTTGTCATAATAACTCATCACACAGCACATGGAATCTTTACGCAAAAGCTTTTTGATGCGATTAACCAAAATTATGAAGCCATGTAGGCTGCAGGGTTCACATTTCAACGTGTCACGATTGGCCTACAAACTGTCAGAAAATTAAACCCATCGAGTACGTGATGACTTGCAGCTATCCTCCAAGGGGAAAAACTGTATTCAACCAACGCGCGATCCATAAATTAATCGATATTTTCAGGTAGGCCAAGGTCATCCCGGTAGAATGCGACGGTATCACACATTCTCCATGTAAGAAGTGAGACTCGAATCATTCCTGCCGCCATAAAAGCATGCCTTCCAGTCGCGACGCGTTGCCCGGGCATTCACTGCTCGCTAAACTTGCCACAATCCCATTTATTTTGCAAAATATCCTGCAAGTTCGGTGAATTTTAGTATAGATATGGCAACAGGGGATCCAAGACATCACATCATCGCATGACGACGTCGATTCGCTTCTGTTACGTCACGCTTCGAACCGCTTTATGTAATTGGCTCTCGTTCTCTTTCTCTTTCTCGCAGTCGGTCCCGTTCCGTTCGTATGCGTGTTTCTTTCTCTCTCTGTCCCCTTTCGTCCCTCATTAAAATTCTGCTTTAACTCTTTTGCAAACTGAAAAGAGCCAACAAATGGCGACTAAAATTGGATCGAACTCCACAGAAAGGAAGTAACCTGTGTATCGGGTGTTGCCTAACGCCCGTTTGTATTTCATTTTATTGAACAGAGCCCATCGACATAATCGCTTGAGATTTGTCGAAGCATATTGTTTGTGCGCCTTATAAAAGTCTCGCTGAATCCTTAGAGAATGAAACGCATTATTTTGTTTACATCTACTTGCTGTAAATATACTGGTTTGGTGATCAAGACCATGCTAATCGCGGTTAATGTACTTCAGCTGCATAAAAATTCCGCCTTCTCGTAACAATATTAGGAAACGCTCAGGTCAGCATTTTCAGGCGTTCTTTAATAGTGTATACTAAAGATCATTGCTCACCAATGTGAAATTAATCATACATACGAGTCAAAGGAGCTTGTTTTACCGTAGCTGACCCCGGAAATGATGTTTACTTTTGTACACCAGCGTTCAAGTCTCCAAGGCTATTAGTGATCAGGTTCATTTGATTCATAATTTTGGCCGCGAACCTGAAACTTTTGTTTCTTTCTTTCTAAACTGGAAAAAGACAAGCTAACTCTCTGATGCTAACATATTTTTGGAGCTTAACCTTCAAGAGAAATAGTGCAATATTTTTTATCGTCTTCGCAATGAAAACAAAATGTCACTTTTATATTCACGCACTCAGACATTCTGGCAAACATAATTTTCTTGGCAAACTCTTCATAAACTCTGAGATTTTTGGCGATAAACCCAGTCAAAAGTTTCCGGAAGTGATCCTTTAATCACTCGCTATGAATTCCTGCCCCATTCACCCACTGTCACGCCAAGAAAAACGCCCGATGAACATTCGAATGTTGTTAAATTTTCTTCAATAATTTTTTTTCTTTTTTTTCGAAAAGGTACGAATATTCTAATATTTTAGATCATATTGCGAATAAAATCCTCTAAAAAATTGGAAGAAAAATATTTGCAAGTCTCAAAAAATGTGTTGTTGGAAATAACAACATTTTGCAACGTCTGGGGGTTCATGTTACCTCAGCACAATAGTGAATTGGATTAGATATTATTAGACAGTCAACGTCAATTCGATTTTTTCTAAAACTACGAGTATACGATTAAAAAATAAAAATGAAAACTTAACGTCTAGGTGGTATCCATTTGTATGTAACTTGATTTAATCATTCGATATTATAGATCTCAAAAAATTGTAAATGGTACCTCTTGCTTTTTGTTACTCATGATATTTTTGTTCTATTTCATTAACTGCCGATTATTCTTTTTCCTCGCAGGAACTTACACTGGTCGTGTGAAAAGGCACGAAGCTGAGGTGCAATTGACTGCAGAGAAACTCGCCGAGGCTGAGAAGAAACTCGTAGCTGAACTGGGTGAGAATGTCTGCGTTTATGAGAATGTCTGTGATAAGTACGCCTACAAGGCTAGGCAACAAAATGGACACAATCAAGCCATCGACTGGGGTGAAATGTTAAGGTAACACCTGCCTCTGATTTCTTTTTCATCAGTTTAAAAATAAACTATTTGCAGAATACTCTCATCTTTAGACATTTCATTTTAATTTATATCAGAAAAAATGTGATACTGAAGCCTCTATAATAAACTATTGCAAGGCCAAAACTATACATTTTTGCAAAGGTTGAAATGAAAAGAGAAAATAACTTCACTTTTGTGGGAATGAAGTCGGAATCAAAAATGAAAAGAAAACGAGTGAAAAAATAAAATATGTCAAAAATTATACTTTAAAAAAGAAACACTCAAAACTGAGATCGAGTTGGCTTCCAGTTGGCTGCTTTTTACGTTTAAATCAAATTGGACAAACAAAAAAGCACGTTACATTATGAATTTAGTATATACATTGGATTAAATTTTTAAAGTTGGTTAACGTTGAGTTATGAGCATTGGGCCTATCATGAATGTTAATCAAAGTGTAACGTAAGAATTTAACGACAGTATTATGGATTGAGCCTATTCCTGATAAACTTTGTCCTTAGTATGCATATTCATAGGCACTAATAAAATATCTTAATCATACTCTGGTTTTGTTTCAGGAGGTTCGAAAATGCACCAGAAGACAAGAAGAAGTTCTACCTTCTCAGTGTGTTCATCGGAGACATTATCGCATCACCGAACTTCTGCCATCAGTTGGTCAAAAGAGGACGGGGTTGCAAGTAGAATTGTCTAAACCATGATGCGCCTGATTCAGGAATTCTTGTGGCATAGGTTGGCTTCAACTACATGTGACGTCAAAGAGCAAAAATCAAGAAATCAGAGAAATTATTCTCTGCAACGGGATTGAAATTCAAAATACGAGTTATGTTTTTCCCAAAGGAACCTTAAGTAGGTTGTCCTCAACCGAGCACCTACATGTGGTGAGCGATGCGTAAGAATAATGAACACCAATAGTAATGCATTTGGGAATAAAGATCTCCTACTTTCGGCTCGTTCATAAAAGCTCCTATCTGCATAAAAAATCAAATAACACATATTTCGTCTTTAAAAAGAGCCTGAAATAGTAGCTTGCATTCTCTTTGAAAAATGCATTCTATTATGACCTTTTGTGGAAAAGAGGAGCTTTGGAGTCAAAATGCTCATCGGAGCAGCAACATTAAAGCCGGCTTAGAAAATCTTGAGTTGAGTTTCGCGGTTTCTAGTATCCTCGCGAATGAATCACAGCTAGCGAGGTTGTTTTCTGTACCAACAAAGTGGATAACATCTAATTATGAATGAATGTTGGACCGCTAGCATTATAGATTAGAACTTTGGATGAATACAAATAATCTTCAAATTACCATAATTCCAATTCAGTCGATATTTTTGAGCGTTCTTGGTTTCAAAATTGTGTTGAAAAACTTTGAATATTCTTAAAATTAGCGTATCGATATCAATGCACTGAAAAAAAACTGCGGCTGTGGAAGCCGTACTTACGGGCTATATAGAACCATATCTGCGTTTCAGGCTAGAAGGCCGAAATTTCTGGGTATAGCGCCCAGAGCAACCAATGATTTGGATCTAGCACGTGGAACTTTCGGCCTGAGAGTCCGGAAGGCATGGAATGTCTATACAGCCCGTAACTTTTCTTCAGTGTGTGCGTGTTTGTAAAACCCAACCAAGAAAAAACAGATGAAAGCATCGTATTTGCAGAGCATGCTGTCCGTGAAATTATGAATGTATTAAATTTTATTGGAATATTTGTTAATGTTAATTCTTAGTTTAAAGAGATTGAAGTGAAGAGATTTATTCATAAAAGACTGTTCTAGGATGTAGTGAGCTAGTTTACTCATAGTTGTTACTTAAAATTTTGAGAATGTTTGCACCGATGGAAATTGCATGAAAGTTCAACACTTTCTTGAGCATAAAAATAGCAGTACAGGTTTTAATTTTAAAAGGGAGTGTTGAATTTTTGTGAAAGAGTTTTTTGTTAAATGAATGTTGAAGGCAAAAGTATCCAACACATTGAAGGAACATTGAAAATAATGAACCGTTGATGTACTCAATATTTGCTTTGGCAAATTTTTACAAATATGTAAAGCCTTGCATTGTGATTAATAGTCTGAAAGTTGACGGTATAAAGTTCACTAGGTAGAATAGCTCTTCAGATATAACTTTACCTTGTAGTCAAAACTGTGCTTATCAGGTAGATTCAACATAATTTAATACAGGGACTCTTATCACTTGCGGAGACAAAACAGCTTTCAGGAGCCCTTCATTTGAGAGCTGTCAATGGCCCTGCCAAAGTTTAGAGCCCGGAATATACTCATAATTAATTACATAAATCAAATCATAAACATTGCATGTAGCTGATCTCTTTCTCAAATTCAAAATTAATACTTCAATCACTCATATATAGACTTATATTAGTGTACAAACTTTTTCATTTTTCAACTTTGATACGCAAAGAAAAAAATGGTGGCAGAATGATGGAATTATACCATGAAGTGGATATCTAAGAGTTAGTGAAATAGAGTATTATTTTATTCTTAATATTCTATTTTTTTCATTCAATTTTAAACGGGTGAAAAATGAATTGCTCATATACAATTAAATTGTTAAAAATAACGCCCAACATGTTTCAAATGTTCGTTTACAATATAAGAAAGCTAAATTAACCACGAGGGTGGTGAAATTAGCATTTTTTATTGTAAAATCCTCATTGAGACATGTTTTTAACTACAACATTTTAAATCAGCAATTTTATTTTTTCCGTGTAATGTTTTTGTTAGTTTCTTAAATTTGAATGCCAAGGTGTCTTTTTGAAGCTTGTGTGGTATCAGAGTAGGTACCTTAATCTTGATAAATTTTTATACTTTGAGCTAAATGCAACGATCTTTACTTTTACTGAGCAAAGAAAATTCATTTTTACGGTGCAATTTTTACAGATATATACGTGGTACTCCAAATTCACTTAATTAACCATACCTTCATCTCATTTTATGAAAGAAAAATGCATTTAAAAGAGTCAAAATACATAATTTTCAGTGATTCAAACAAGCTTCGCTGGCCTGTTTACTTCAGATGGCTAAAGCCCAGTCATGATCATGATCCCCTAACAAAAATTTAAAAATTTTAGGTTAAGAGATTTAATCAACACGAATCAAAAATATTTTTTAGTATTGCTAAGAGACAAAGTAAAGGTTCTATAAAAGTTTTTCTGGGACCTGGTGGAATTTAATTCTTAATCTTTTCAGATGTACCTGTTTTCTCTCTTTATTTCTTTTTAGCTATAAAAGTTTTTTTTTGCAAACTTTGAATATTCTTCTAGTTTCACCGTCATTATCACATTCTATTGCATTGGTTATACGATAATTACCCCTCCCCACTTATTATAAAGTCAATTTTTTTTTTTATTTTTACTCTTAGTTTAATTTGTACGGGTTAAAATATCTGTAAAGGTGCGCATTTAAACGAAACAGGGAAGTTCATGAAAGGAAACTAGTTTTATCATATATTTTGGATTTCAACCTCCTTTTATCAATTATGTACCCTAAGTTTGTAACTGTGGACAAAAAGTATGTTAGTCTCAAAAAGGGACTAACGGAACAAAGATTGATATTAATATTACATTTCGAACAAATAAACCGAAATAAAGAAATAAATAGTGAAACAACTTTGTGTTATTTCTCTATTTTTTAGACCTGCTTTTAATTATGAATCCACTCACATCTCTACAAAAATTCACCAAAGCTATCGCCTTACATTGATCTGCTTATAATTCTAGTTCATTAGTATGGAGTCTATCGGTATACTCTAAGAGGTTGCGGTATCCAAATTGTCTTACCTTTTCAATTTTTTACATCTCTTTTTGATGGGAGTGACAAACGGATCATTTGCCAAACTAAACCGACGTTACTACAGGATAGGACTTGAAACATTTAGAAGCTCTGTCAAGCGAAATGCCTTCAATTGGTGAAATATGCAATTTGTACTACTCGCCTCAAGTCCTTGCCTGTTAGACCTGTGCTGCGAGGCAGCAAGCGTGCGGCTGAGGGTGATGGTAATCCAAGCGCGAGGTAGCCATATCTACAACTCGTCTTTCCTCAGACAAAAGAACGTAACTACATTTTGATGTTACAAAATTTTCACTTTCAATAATATTTTCACCGGGAAACTGTTCGCTGTTTTTAACTGAAGATTTCACCGACCTTTCGTCTGATTGAACGACTAAATCGACAAAAATTGACAGTGTGGCCGCAAGTGTAGAGCATGCTGTCATACAACGTCAAACTTTTTTTTTCGTTTGAGGCAAAGCATCACACCATTTGAGGAACTTCGGGAAATGGGTCACTAAACTGTGAACCAATTTTGACTTGTGCATACATTTTTCCAAAGGTATATTACGTGTAGAATGCGATGCGTATGTTAAACGCGAAAAAAAAAATCAAAAACCGAGAAATACGCAGTTCAAAAAGCGCAACTTTTTCGGAAAAGAAGGAAATGCACCGGTTCCGCGCCAAACTGAATGATGGCATCCGGCATCAACCAGCGGAGATAGCGATTTGACAGCCGTGGTACATCGCACTTCCATTGATTTCTTACCATTCTGGAGCGTTTGAAATTTCTTTGAGTTTCTGGAATTTTTAAAGGCAGACTTGTCCGGGATTCTGGCTCCAAAAATATGCAAGAAAGCACCACGTATATAATCTACTCATCTGGTACTTTCAGAATATATAATAAAAAACACAAGGTTTAGTGACCCATGAACAAAAATTGCACTCGAAAGCGGAAGAACATTCCTATAGGCAAATAGAAAAAAAAGCAAAAGTCTACCCTACACCTGATAAAAACAAATAAATAAATAAATGGGGTTAACGGTCAGAGGAGGGGGGGGGCACATTTTTTGATGTAGAGTACAAGGTCCGGAGGGAACACGTGCTCTCCCGCCCCCTAGCTAGGGGGTACGAAGGGCTTCCCCCGGAAAATTTTATACAAATAGCCCCTTCCAAACTGAATTTTAGGCAGTCTCATATTTTTTAGCATGTGCAATGCACGCATCATATGAAAGCTGAAAATTGACAAATAATATAGACGGAGAAAACGATATAGTGCTGAGCACTAACAGTTTAGATCAAATGGAGCAGCTAGCATGGCAGAAGCGCTAAGCCCTAAAACTATAGGGTCCAGCCCTTCAGACTGTAGGTCTCAGCAGTATTGCCATACTCGTATTAGCTGGTTCCGTTTGATCTAAACAGTTAGTGCTCAGCACATTATCGTTTTCTCCGTGTATCTTTTAGCGTAATTTTATTCAAGAATCCTCTCTATTCTTAAGAAATCATTTTGAAGACGTTTGATGGACAGGGTGAGGAAGTGGAGTAAGGCGGTCGATGGCTGAGTTCAAAGTCCGTGAGAGGGAATCCTCTCTTTGTAATAAAATTATTATTTAGACGCGCTATGGACAGGGTGAAGGAGGGGAGTAAGAAGAGTAAGAAGCGGCCTTTGGGGGCGCGCATCGCCCCGGGCGAGGGTTAGGCCGCGTAGCGGCCAGGGGGCGGACCCCCTAATGTGGACTATTTATTTCCGTGTCGTTGACAAACTTTTGGTTTGGTAAACTCTGGTTATAAAGTTCTTTCTTAAAACTATTCCAGTCAATTTTTAGGAGCACCTTTAAAACTCCCTCCCTTTTTTTTCTTTTTCGGGGGCATGCCACCATCTCCCTTCCCCCGGATTCGCCACTGGAAACAACTGAACCGGCGCAGTTTAATTTAATATTGAAAAACCGGCGTCCGTTCTTCTCCCGGCGGATAGGAAATTTAAGGAGGATAACATGAATTTATCTATGGCTTGGTAAACTTAGGCCGAATTTCACGGGTGAGTGCGACAGCTGGGCACTGGAGCAATGATTCGACACCATCGCTAGCGTCTTTACCACGGGTGGAATAAACTCAACAACAGTAACCAACACCCACCAACGCCCGGCAAGGAGCCAGCCCACTGCTTCACTTTCTTTCTGACACAGGTGAAATTAAAAGTGTTTTACCGCCAGCCGGCTCGTGTCTCACTCATGAACTCCGTCTTAAGACACCAGTGCTTATATTCTTCGCTTCAAGTGTCTTCAAGTGCCGCAATTAACGCGTGTGTTTGTTAACATCTCAGCTTACCGGAATATTGCATCGCTAACAATCAGCCGAGAGGATCTCCTCAGGCGAGGAGCTGTTAAAAAATAACAATCAAAGGGACTTTAAGCATTCTGGATCCAAGGCTTTTCATTATTTGGGTGAGTGAATGTCAGTTCTTGACCTCTCATTATTTTAGAATTTTCAAAATTCACACTTTGCAAGGTTTGTTTTTAAAGTTTCAATTCATATGAACAGGATAATCCAAGCGTCTGGTTTTTAGTGATACTATTTGGATGACTTTGGACGCAATATGATGGATGTTGTTTATTTTCCTTGAGTATTTTACATTTTACCGACAACGGTTACAATTTTTTTTAGTAATTTCATTCAGGCTGTACCCAGTTAATATAACCTTCTTCTTCATCAGATCACCTGTCCTCCTCAGATGTCATTATTGACCCCCGTAAAAAATAGTTGCAGCAACTTTTTATTTAGGGCCACTCTGAATGAACTGGCTACATTTTGCAGTACAAAACCAGTCAACAAAAGTAATCCAAAATCATTATTTTCCCCCTCTTTTTTTCGTTTGTTTTAACGAGCTTGCGGACCTGAATCAGCCTCGGATGTTCAATATAAACCTCCAAAAGTTAAAATAGTGTTTTTGGACCAAAAAGAACAAAGCTGTATCTGTTGCCCTGGAAGAAAAAACCCATCCATACGGCTAAATGCACAATTTGTCGTTTCTCCCACGAAAGAACGTAACTCCAAATCGATGTTGCCAAATTTATCCTCACAAATTGTATTTTCACAAGAGAATCTTCAGCTTTTTTAACTGAAAATTTTCTCTGATTCTATTTCTGATCTTGTGCAAAAATGAGACAAATTTTTAGCTAAATCTACAGAAGTGCGACCTTGTAATAAATGAAATTATTTGAGTCAATTTAGCAACCTTGGAATGAAGTTACGTTCCTTTGTCCGAGTAGCGACAAACTAAGGCAAAACAGCACTGTTTCTTTGACTCGCACACATTGCGAGTCAACAGTGGGCGGAAAGAGAAGGTGCAAGTTTGTTTTGGCAAACTGTCAACTTTCCTCCACCTCAAAGCTCCCGAGTCGCGAAGGAAGTAACAAGCGAGGAAATCTAATTTCGACGAATTTCCCAAGTTGCATTGAATGGGGCAAAATATATGCGGACCGCAAAGTTCCCTTTTTGATTGTCACAGGTCGACTGGGAGAGGGCGAGGGGGTGCGCATTGTCAGATGTAGTCTTGAAGTCAACATTTCTGTTAAGATACATGTTTGAATGTGCTCGAAGCTAAATGGATGATATGGCAACTTTGCCCCACGTGTTGATGAAAATCACAAACGTTACTCGAGAGCTAAATAAATAAATAAGAATATTTTATATTTCTCCCTTTTTCTCAAGATTTCGCCGACTGCGTTGTATTCCCTACGTAAGCACGGTATTTTGAAGGGTGAGGGAAGAGCACTTGTTTCGAACCGAAGAAAAAACCAGGTAAACTTGATATACGTGCTTACTTCATTTGAAATGACTTCTTCTTCGTGTGAATCTTTATTCTTTACTTCTGTTTCTCATAGTTTATTCAAAATAAATTCCAATGTAGGATGAGTAAAATGTCTACTTAAATTCATACCTTGACACTGATTTGCATGTAGAACCTCGGCATACCGTAAACTTAGAGGAGGGCATTTTCGGCTGCTGAGAAATAATAATTTATGATACAGTAAAACTTTTTCTCTGCATGGAATTCCATGATTTCTTGGAGAACTTTTTTTTTTTTGAAAAATTAATACCCTTTTTCTGCCTTTTTACGAAAGTACAATGGGATACGAGCCTAAAATTTGACGTTTTTATGCTTTAAATAACTATGCCTCGAAAGGAACGACATTGCACTCAGACCCTTTGTTCATATTTTCTATCACTTTTAATTCATTTGCATATGGTCTTCTTAAGCCTTAATACGTGCAATTCTGAATGAAATGATGAAGTTTAATGGAACGATCAGGGAGAGTTTCGTGTATTTCCCTAAATTTCAGAGGATTAGTAAAACTCTGTGCAAAAGTTGGTTTACACATCCTTAAGCGCAACGCACACGGTTTTGCAACGATAAAATAAAACTCATCAATTTTACTTGGAACACTTGCAAAAGGACTCCTTGAGTTACCTTTTAATTTTGAGCTTTAACCCAGAACATTTGAAAATTTTTACTGTGGAACAATTTTCGTAAATAATTTTCATTGAAATTTCTCTGAGAGCATCAATAGTTGACCACTAAATGAATGGGGGTTGAACAAAACTACGAGACAAGTTTATTTTGAAAGTAAATATATAAAACGTATGAACACTTTGAGTGTTGTGCTCTTTGGATGTTTTGTTCCTTCTCAGATTTGGTTGAATTTCCGGCTCTATTAGACAGCGTCGAGGGACCGAATTGTGTGTTCATTTTGTGGGCTGCAAGTAGCCGCAATTTTCGGTCATTTGGCTGCGTTTGGCGAGTTCGTCGGGCGCAATTTAAGCTCAAATACGACACCTT